GTCGTGGAAGTTTAGGAATCCTGTGATTCTTGTGAGCCTATGTGTGAAACTGTTGAAACCAAACAGCCGGGGATGCGGTAGGGGTGAGAAGGGCTAAACAGAACCAAACAAAAGTTCAGTAGTTTAATGGGTTTTGATACCTGTGATTATTTCAGAATTGACTCTAACATAAAATAAGAAGGATCAAAGGAGCAGAGTTCTACTAGGGAAGAAGTTAAAATTGAAGCTTGTTGTAGAAATGAAAGGTTTCTGTTCGTATACTAGTGTATATATTACATGAAGAACAATGAGTGAATTATGTCTGTTCAGGCATTGATAGGGTAGGCTTTATTCCAGAGTGTGGGTACCTTCTTTTAATTTCTCTCTGCTAAGAGATTAGATCCCAGGACTAATATTTGACTCTGCCTTTCAAAGACTGTGTGCTTATAGCTTTGGTGAAAGCCTAAGTAAAATCTAAATGTCTGTTGGTAGCAGAACATGGATAAAATTATGGTATCTTCATATAATGGATGTTGTAAAGCAGATGAAGTGAATGAAGTAGAGCTATATGAAACAAAACTGATATATCTTAAACATAAAAATGAAAAAAGTGAGTTGCAAAATGATAGTACAGTTCTGTCAGTTCTGTATTATTTCAGAGTTTCAACAGGAAAGATAATACTGTTATATAGTGTTCATAAGAGATGCAGTAGTGGTGACTGTAAGAAAGTATTCACGGAAATAGTAATTCTGTAATTTAGGCTAGTGTCTTTCTCAGGATGAAAGAAGGGAGTAGGGTTTCAGAGAGGTACACACGGGGCTTCAGCTATAGCTGTAACTGGGAAACAGGTTCTCAAGGAAATACTGCAACTTGTTAAAATTTGACAAAGCCAGGTGGTAGATTCACAGGGGAGGATTATAGTATTCTCTGTTCTTTTCCTTTATGCTTGAAGTGTTTTAGAAGAAACAAAACAAAACATAACATCTGATACTTTAGCATCAAAGTATGATCATTACGTTAACCAGAAGGACTCTTATTAACTCAGGAATGCAGTAACAGTGGATGAGGCCACCAACGCTTAATCTGTCAGCAGTCCAGGTCTCTAAACACCCCCTTTGGTCTTAGTCTGTACAGTTTTCCTGGGTCTGGGCTGCAGCTCAGAAAGGGTATCAGGCAGGTGATAGATACCGACAGGTTGTTTTGCATAGATCAGTTTGATGGTTTTTAAAGCACTATGAGGCTGCCTTTCAAAATTGTTCTTTATACTTGTTTTTTTTTAAATCACAGCAAAGTGAAAGAGGGGTGAACTCAGTTGCCCTTTAGGAAGCTGTGGTACCTTGGTTGGTATAAGAATGGGGAAGGGATACACAAGGAATTTCTAAGGCTTGAAAATTATACCTGTTATGTGAGGCCTGGGGCTTAGGACAAGCCATAAATCCCTGGTCTTTATCTTGTGCTTAAATAGCTCTGTATTTTCATTTAAACTGGGAACTAGGAAATTTGCCTGGTGCTAGGGACCTAATTTGGCAGACACAGGGTACTGTGGTATTCAGAGGAGATTTGTTATGCATGCATGCTTGTGTGAATTAGTGTATAAATACTTGAAACAGGTCTTTTGAGCCACTGTGTCTTACACAAGGTAGAAGGATAAGAAACTTCAAAGAAAGTCCTGATTTAATGGATTTTAGCAGCAATAGCAGCTTCGTTTGTTTTAGTTGCTTTGGCTCATTCTGCAGCCGACTGTGAGAAAGTTGGTATTATGCCTCTTTTAAAGATTAAGAAACTTGCGTTAAGAGGTTAAGAAACTTGGCAGACAAGACAGCTTGAAGTGGTAGTGTTGATACAGATCTGTCTGACTCAAGGCCCTGGCTCTTTTTCTTTTTGCCGCACGTACCCTTTTGTGAAGGTGAGAGATAAAGAAGATGCTACCTTTCTATTTTTTGTTCTTTAAACATTCTTTGTAGATACATTTGTTATTGTTCTAAGTGGTATTATTCTTGATAAGTTAAACAGATGTTATATATATATCCAGATGCATATGTACTGAGATTAAGCGCTATATAGCAGGAGAGCATCTTACTTTTTGATGGAGACTAGAAACTGAACAACACTCTCCCTGTATTGACTTACAAGGGGAGTGAATATTATAGAAGCGCGGGTACTACGTGAGATGAAAGAGAGACAGAATGGAGATGGGAAGATCGGGAAAGGGGACAGATAGGCACAGGTCCAGGAACAGGAAGACATAGTAACAGATAAGCCATAGAGAGTGTTGGAGTGCCGGAGGCAGAGGCCTGGGTACGGGTGAAAACACACAGAAAACAAGCTGAAATACTTCTCTTCTGGTATTTATGGTCCCAACTCTAACTCTTTCTTTTTTAAGTAATGAACAATTAATTTAAAAAAACATAAATTTTGGTCTGCATTTTTTTTTTGAGATGAAGTCTCACACTGTCTCCAGGCTGGAGTGCAGTGGCGCAATCTCAGCTCACTGCAACCTCCTGCCTCAGCCTCCCAAGGAGCTGGGATTACAGGCTCCCACCACCACGCCCCTCTAATGTTTCATATTTTTAGTAGAGATGGGGTTTCACTGTGTTGGCCAGGCTGGTCTTAAACTCCTGACCTCATGATCTGCCTGCCACCTTGGCCTCCCAAAGTGCTGGGATTACAGGTGTGAGCCACCATGTCCAGCCAGTCTGCATTTTTTAAATTACTTTCAGTTAACAAATTATTGGTGGTTTCCAGGTTGCTCTCAGTGAAGATGACTTGACAGTTTTAATGAAAATTTTGCTGGAAAATCTTGGAGAAGCTTCCTCACAACCAAGCCCTACACAGTCTGTGCAGGAGGCTGTAAGAGTCAGAAAAGTTGATGTTTCAAGCGGACCTGACCGTCTCAGAGGTATAAATTGATGAGATCTACTTCATGGAGAAAAAAATTAGTGTTAATGTCATATTTATATATAGTATTTTTCTAGTTGTCCAGTGCATTGTGTTATAAACTAATTCAGTCTTGTTCTCCTTACTGTGGAAATTTAGCTGGGGCTGGGAGGTATGTCTTTTGGCTGCTACAGGGGGAGTGATGCTTGTTTACACTTTACTTGTGAATGCCAAATCTGCTGAATTCACTAGGCAGTGGAATATCTTGAGAGAAGAATCAAACTAGACAGGCAGTGTAGTAAGGTTCCAAAATAATTCAGAGAGAAAAGGACCTTGGTATCACATACCATACTCAGATGATTGAACAATGAGAAAGGAAGGTGTTCTTGTATAGTAACTGCTTTATTTATCTGGACTAATTGGAGAATTATGAATCAAATGCATAAGATACTTTTTCAGATCATTTATTTGAACCTATTAAAAGCAGTGAACGTTTTTAATTCAGCCTTTTTTAATGATAGTTTTCCTAAAATGTAAGGTTTCTTTTTGCTTTCTTAGATTATATTAAATATAATTTCTTTTTTCATCATTTAAAGCCATTGATGTGAATATAATGTTTTGTTAGACTATAAATGGGTTAACATTTTCATGGCTAAAAAGAGACGAAGTACCCCTGGCCCATATAGTAAATGGTCGCGGGCTGCTGTGCTTTTCTAATGCTCTCATAACATCAGCTGTTACTTCAAATGACAGTAACTGATAAAACTACCAGTTGATACACCATATCAACATTGCTTTTCCTCTAGCTATGCTTGGCGTGTTTTGAAATGACACAAACAAATGACTAGAACAGTATGCAAGGTTTCTGGTTTAAGTGGATAGTTTGTTTTTTTTTAATTTTACTGTAGATTCTGGGATACATGTGCAGATCATGCAAGATTGTTGCATAGGTACATTCATGGCAAGGTGGTTTATTGCCTCCATCCCCCCATCACCTATACCTGACGTTTCTCCCCATGTTATCTCTCCCCTACCCTCCCTCCCACTATCCCTCCTATGGCCACCCCTAACGGAGCCCAGTGTGTGATGCTCCCCTCTTTGTGTCCAAGTGTTCTCATTGTTCAACACCTGCCTATGAGTGAGAACATGTGGTGTTTGATTTTCTGTTCTTGTGTCAGTTTGCTGAGAATGATGGTTTCCAGGTTCATCCATGTCCCTATAAAGGGCACAAATGCATCATTTTTTATGGCTGCATAGATTCCATGGTGTATATATGCCACATTTTCTTTGTACAGTCCATCATTGATGGGCATTTGGGTTGGTTCCAGGTCTTTGCTATTGTAAACAGTGCTGTGATGAACATGCATGTGCATGTGTCTTTATAATAGAACGATTTATATATAGTCCTTTGGATATATACCCAGTAATGGGATTGCTGGGTCAAATGGAATTTCTATTTCTAAGGCCTTGAGGAATCGCCACACTGTCTTCCACAATGGTTGAATTAACTTACACTCCCACCAACAGTGTAAAAGTGTTCCTATTTCTCCACATCCTCTCCAGCATCTGTTGTCTCCAGATTTTTTAATGATCGCCATTCTAACTGGCGTGAGATGGTATCTCAATGTGGTTTTGATTTGCATTTCTCTAATGACCAGTGATGATGAGCATTTTTTCATATGTTCATTGCCTTCATATATGTCTTCTTTTGAAAAGTGTCTGTTTATGTCCTTCGCCCACTTTTGGATGGGTTTGTTTGTTCTTCTCTTGTAAATCTGTTTTAGTTCTTTGTAGATTCTGGATATTAGCCCTTTGTCAGATGGGTAAATTGCAAAAATCTTTTCCTATTTTGTTGGTTGCCAGTTTGCTCTAATGATTCTTTCTTTTGCTGTACAGAAGCTCTGAAGTTTAATTAGATCCCGTTTGTCTATTTTGGCTTTTGTTGCCATTGCTTTTGGTGTTTTAGTCATGAAGTCTTTGCCTTTGCCTATGTCCTAAATGGTTTTGCCTAGGTTTTCTTCTAGGGTTTTTATGGTGTTAGGTTTTTTTTTGTTGTTGTTCCAGTCAACCAAAGGGACACTTTATTGAGGCTCCAGGGCCATGGGGCCTGAGCAGGAGGCTGCCCTTCCAGAAAGGAAGAGGCTTATTTGACGTGCTTCTTGGGGCGCAGGTTATTGGTGTGGCCACACTTCTCGTGGCAGTTGACAGCACGGGGGTGCCAACAAGCACAGCACTTGCGGCAGATCCTCTTGTCGCAGCTGTATTTCCGTGTGAGCTGGCAGAGGGAAGGCTCAATAATGCCACCTCTCAGGCACAGCACCAGGTGCAGAGTGGACTCTTTCTGGATGTTATAGTCTGAGAGCGTGCGGCCATCCTCCATCTGTTTGCCGGCAAAGATCAGACACTGCTGGTCAGGTGGGATACCCTCCTTGTCTTGAATTTTGGCTTTGACATTCTCACTGGTGTCACTGGACTCGACCTCAAGGGTGATGGTCCTGCCCGTGAGTGTCTTCACAAAGATCTGCATCTCTGCGTCTGCAACTCGGCCACCTCACTGAAGCAAAAAAAGCTAAGTAGATAGTTTCAAGTACTGCCAAGCTTGATGAGATCAGCATCTCCCCAGGTGAAGTTTGTGCCACCATACAGACAAATGCTAGATAAACAGGCTGTTACTATAGTTAGGCAGGAACTATATGTAGAGATGAATAAACGATTACCAGGCAGGCCCTATGTGGTTGATGATCTCGTTATGTTCAGTCATCATCACGTTCATGTATCTGGTTCTTGCTATATGAACACTGTGGCACTTGGGAAAATTTATTAATTCAAATGGAAGCTGCAAAGATGATGAAAAGTAGAATATAAATTACGTCCAAGAAAAATGGAATTTTCTAACTTGGAGAAGGCTTAGGTGGTTAGAGTTATGCAGTATTCGTTTTTCCGGCAACTTGTAAGAACAGACTGTTCTATAGAATGACAACATTTACAATCAATATTGAAAAAATTATAGAATCAGTCCGTAAGAGTGATTGAAAGCAAGATCTGTTCAGTCTGTATGATCTTTCTAAAGATGAGGGAAAAGACTTGTCTCCAAATTCCAAAGCACCCACTCCCTTCCCTGCATCATGTATGAACTCTGTTTGACTTTGCTATTGAGTTGTATTCTGTTCTTATAAAGATAACAGGTTGGATAATATAGGTAAAGATAGTAGGAAGTACATTAGGCTAGCAGAGAATCTGTTAACTAGCTGTCTAATCTAAGGGAAAATATTTGACTATTCTTTGTCTCTAATTTCATAATGTCTTGAAAATGGCTTGTAGCCAGTTAGATGTAAAAGCCTTGAAAATTATAAACTATATTCTTTGTAAGCCCCCCCCTTTAAAAAGTTTTTTTAATATAGTCTGCCTGTGCCTCTTTGTGCATATATAGTAAATATATATGGAACAGTCATTGCCATTTTTAGAATTTAACACTTGGAATGTAATTGTCATTTTTATTAATTGTCTCAAAGTGATTTGTAGAATCCCAGAGGCGTCATATAAATTTAGTATAATAAATTCTCTCAGATTTAAAAATATTTATAAAATTATATACCTACTTAAAAGCTGTTAAATTTTCACCACCAGAACAAGAAGATGGGACAGACTCACAGCTTTCTGTGAACCAGACTGTCACTCTTCAGTTTGACTTTCACTTTGAATCTCTTTCCCTCATCCTTTATAACAATGATATCACCCAGGTATGTAATACATTTGCATAATTAGAAATAAATCTGTAGCTCTGGATCGTCAGTTTTAGAGTATTGGCTTTTTTTTGGTGGGACTTTTCATTAAAACATTTAATATGTCTATAAAATTCTGTTTGGCCTACAGAATATGCATTGCTCTTGCCCTCTGTCTTCACTTTGTTAATATTTCTAATCTTCCAAAGCTAAGGCAAAGTACTCAGGGTTTTCTTTCTTTCCAAGTAATATCAGCATCAAAACAGTTTGATTTATTACTAGTAGAAGAATTTTATATATGAGTGATTAATTATATGTACAGTTTTATTCCACAACTATATGTGTATGTATATGTATATATAACTACTTAAGAATAATAATTTAGTAGTGGCCTTAGAGCCTTGCCTGATGATTTTTAAATTCATGATTATCCATGATATATAAACATTAATTATGTTTCTGTTGAATAAATGTTATATGTAGTAGATTATGTGTTAAGCACACCGATTAAGGAATTGAAGAACCAAGGTCTTATGCCATAATGATTTGAACTGATTAATATATCAGTGGTATTGTAGAAAGCTATTTTTTATTATGCAGATATTTCCTCCCAGTAAATATTTTAATTAAACTATGTCATATATTAATACCTATAATGCATGTCGCATTTTAATATCCATATTTTGTATTGATTATAGATTGAACATTGAGGATATACCCTAATTGGCCAGTGAGCAGTATACTCAAATGGGCATTAACAACAGATACAGATTATGGGTTTTATATCTGTTGTTAATGTCTATTTTTATGAAATATGTTCATTCTTATTTACTACAAATTATGTAATATTTATACATTGTTACTTTTGAATTTTGGGCTTGTATTTGTCATTTATGCAATGAACTGCCTTATTTTCTAATGTTTAATGCTCATGAAAACGTTGGAAAATGACCTTACAGAAAATGAACCGTTAAATTCAATCTTTATTTTACTTGGTACCATCTAAGGTGGTTCCCCAGACTTAGAATCTTGATGTCTACTTTTGCTTCATTTTTTTCATGCCTTCCTTATTCATTGAGATGCTGAGTACTGTCAGTTTTTTCTTGAGTAAACTTTCTCTTTTTTCTGTCAATTCTCATGCTTCTTTATTTGAAACTTTTCTTACACTTGTAGTACTGCAATGACTTCCTTGTTTGATTTTTTTTTTACCTTTCATCCATCCTGGATATTGGCACAAGTTCATTTTCCTAAATGAATCTCATGTAGCCATTTCCAACTTCCCTTTCCACTAATAAACACTGTGTTATATAATCTGAATTTCATCTGTGGAAAAAAATTTAGGGGCTCCATATTGTCTCCATCAGGAAACCATTATCAATAATCCTATCAGGAAGCATTCGTGTGTAGTGATCAGTAGCTGTGTCTCAGGCCCTTCCTATTAATGGTTATAGAATAAAAGTTTGTGAATAATTTTCATTTTTATAAGTTATAGGCATTCCAAGTTTGCCAATAATAATGTCATTCTGACCCATTGCATAAACATCCTCTCTTGAGTGAGAGAAGGGGTGACGTTCTAACCAGTGCCGATGATTGCCCATACCCGGCACACCTGTTATCGTTGCCTTGGTCTGTAGTAAGCAGTGGTCATGGATGTTCATCACTTGCCTGAAGGTTTTTGTTTGTTGATTACCTGGTGTTTTTTTTTTAATCTGGGCCTACTGAGACAATTTGGAATTATATGTTATGGTAGAATAAAGATTGAGGTCCGTTTTTCTGTAAGTGAAAATTTAAATATTTAGGTTGGGATTTGAGACCTTGATTAAAAACTCTGTGTTTCTTTCGAGTTTTTTCCCTGCCATTCTTTACTGGAGTATCCTAGCCCAATTACCCTGTATCATATGTCCTCAGAACATCTTAAATTGTTTGTTCATGTTTTTTCTTTATGTAGGCTGTCTCCTGCCACCCTCTTAGCCTATCTGATCCCACTTTGCCTCTGAAGCTGTATTAAGTTCTCACAGTCTTCGTGAACTTTCCCCAGCCAGAAAGATCTCTTCAGCCTCTCTCAGCTCTTACTATTTATATTCTTTCCTAACCACTAAATGGCCTTTGTGAAATGTGAGAAGATGTAAATATGAATGAATAAAATACTATGTGTCACAAAATATTTAATCATTTACAACTACTAGCATCTTCTTGTGATGTTCCTTTTAGTGTATTTCTGTTTTGTTTTCTCAAGGGATTGGGGTATATGCTCACTCACATCACCTCCTATGCCTTACTTTTTCTTATAAACCTCATAAATCTTATTTTTTTAACAGAAGAACTCATTAAATATTTATTAGATTAATTGATTAATTGACAGAACTCCGTCCTAATTATTTTTATTTGCAATAAGTTGTAAATTAGATAAATTTTTCTATACTAACCATTATTGAATACTCACTCATATATATATTTATTTGTATGTGCAGGTAAACTCACAAGCATGCATATTCTCTGTTCTATTTAGGTGTTTTAGCACTGAATCTTTTAAATTTTATGAAATCAGTTCGCCTTTAATCTCTGAATTAAGAAATCTGTTTAAAAGGAATTATATAATATTTAAAGATAATTAATTCTTTTGCTTGTAAAATATACCATAGGAGTCCAGAGTTTCTTTTCATAATGACCATTTCCAGCTTGGTGAACTCAGACTACATGTTATGGCCTCCTCAGGGAAGATGTTTAAGGATGGCTCGATGAATGTCAGTGTTAAACTTAAGACATGCACCCTTGATGATCTCAGAGAAGGAATTGAGAGAGCGACATCGAGGTTTGTCAGCTCTGAATTTGCTATACATTATTTCAGATTGACATTGCAGTTGCCATGGCTTCCAGGCATTGCTAGGGATCACCTAAAAAGATCTATGCCTTTTGATCATACTTCCTGATTTGAATTGCGTTATGAAGTAGTGCTAATAGAAGATTCAGCTGCTTTAAAGGTTAAATTAAAGGGAAGTTTAATAATAAAATGGAATGCCATCTTTAGAATGGGAACTAAGAGAAAATGAGTTTTAATAGTTAAATCAACATGGGGTGATACATTTGGTGATATATTTTTCGAATTTCTTTCCAGTAGGCAGAATTTTATTTTAAAAAGCCTTCAAGTTATGGATTTTTCTTTCGTCTGGTTTATTTTGTTCATGTCTTTTTATGAAACAGTTATGCAAAATTTATTTCAAAGTTTTAGTAGAAATAGAATCTAGTGCATTCACATCATCAAGCCATTTGTGAAAGGGTGACTTATATTAGCTCACTCTAAAGTGGGAAATATGTAATTTCAGTAGCCTAATTATGATTTAATTTTCTTTCTCAAGTTATGAGACACAAATTTTGTACCCTTTTTTTTTTTTGAGAAAAACTATGTTGCTACTTAAACTTGGACTCCATTGAATACATATGGGATACTTCTGAGCCCTTTGTTTTTCTGAGAGATGAATAAATAAGGAAGGTGTGCTGTTATGCACCCAGCTATTCTAGTTTGGAAATTTCATGTCTAGAGTAGCTGTTCACAGCTCTTTAGACAAGGGTGATAAGTGAACATCCATCAGGTAGCCTGCTTTTTCCAGTTTATGGAGGACATAGGGGAACTATAATGGAGCACACTTGATAAATACTTGATGATTTAAGTTGTATTGAATACTTTTGGGCTCAAATTTTCATAGGATTATCTTTGAAGATGAATTTTTAAAGTGAGGTTTTATTTCATAAAAATAATATAAAAGGGCTGTGTTACATTTTGTGTCACTACACTGATGTGTTTTGTTAATTGCCCAAATTCCATTCTGGCCAA